AAAGCGCTCTCTCCTGCTTTCGCACCTTTTTAAACAGAGAGCAGATATTGTTTTTCTTCAGGAAACGCACTTCCGTCGTGATGCCATGCCCAAGCTTACTAACTCCTGTTTTCCTACAGTTTATCATGGTCCTAACCTTCATGCTAAATCTAAAGGAGTTTCCATTTTGATTGCAAAGCACCTCCCTCTGGTTATCTCGGAGTCACTTCCGGATCTGGATGGTAGATTTCTGTTTCTAAACGGTAATTTTGCCAATAGGCCCATCACTTTAGCAAATCTTTATGCACCCAACACTAGACAGGTATCCTTTTTCCGCTCCATTACCTCTTCACTCTCCTCCTTCCAGACAGGTATCCTAATCTTGGGAGGTGATCTTAACGACCCCCTATGCCCTTTACTGGACTCTTCCTCAGGAAGCTCTTTCTTGACACATAAATCCATTAGACAGATTCACACTCAACTTCAAGATCTGCAATTTCACGATTCTTGGTGAGTCCTCCACCCAAATGTCAAAGACTATACATTTTCCACTCCCCTCCACTCAACAAATATTCCAGAATCGATTACCTCTTTATCACGCAAGTTGACCTCTCTTTCCTCCATGATTCTTCAATCGAACCGATGATCCTCTCTGATCATCACCCTATCACTATGACATTATGATTTCCGGAGAAACATTCCCGTTCTAAAATATGGCGTTTAGATGCCTCTCTTCTTTCGGACTCATCCAATGAAGCATCGGTTCACGCTCAATTAACTGACTACTTTTTGAACAATCAAACTCCAGATACCTCTTCGTTAACTCAATGGGAGGCACATAAATGCGTCATTCGAGGAGTCTTAATAGCTATGGCCACAAAACATAGAAAAGAGAGACAGACTCGCTAACAACAACTCTTAGATCGCATTAAATTCCTGGAAAAGGCGCACAAACATAATCAGGCCACCTCGACTTTATCTGATCTTACGAAGACCCGCACACAGCTCTTAAATGAACTAGGCAAGGCAGATAAGCGCAGATTCATTTTGTCGCACAAACTTTATTATGAATTTACTAACAAAAGCGGGAGATTCTTAGCCAGATCCCTCCAGACAAAAAAGTCGAGTTTAACGGTTCACAAGATTAGGGGCTCGGATGGCTCTTTGGCCACCTCAAATGCGGATATAGCATCTCACTTCGAGCAATACTACAAAACATTATACAATCTTCCTCCAGAACCTCGCCCTTCTGAGGCCAATAAGCCTAGAGACACCCTAATCTCTGACTTTCTTCGCCTCTATAGTCCTTCCACTGTACCTGATGATACTGTTCAGGATTTGGAACATCATATCACGGTGGAGGAACTCTCCCGAGCCGTCCAGCAAATTAAACCTGGTAAAAGCCCGGGCCCTGATTGTTTTTCTGTGGCATATTACAAGGAGTTTCTATATATTTTGAGTGGACCCTTCCTCTCCACCTTCAACACTTTCTCTTCACCCCCCATGCAACATCATCGCCTCCTGGAAGCTCATATCACTGTCATCCCCAAAGAAGGTAAAGATGAACCACGGAGGCATTTAGTATCATTTACCTATCTGCTTCTTTTTGGTGACAGAACCTCTGATTCACTTCCCGCCTGTAAAGCTTGGAAAAGAGACTTGAACATTGACTTTTCTTCCTCTGATTGGGACCAAATCTTTACCTTTTCTCAGAAGTGCTCCTTGAATGTTTTGGCACAAGAAAATGGTTACAAGTTGGTGACACGTTGGTACAATACACCTTCTAGAATCCATCATTTTAATCCATCCAGACCCAGTATTTGTTGGAGATGTGGGGCTCCTGTTGGATCTCTTCTTCATATCTGGTGGGACTGCTCTATGGTTCATCGGAATACTTCTTCGGTGTCTACTCTTGATATTGAGTTCTCTCCAGCCCAACTCTTCCTCCACCACACTCCGCTTCCCAAACGTCTATATTTCAAATCTCTGGCTATGCATATGCTTAACGCGGCCAAGCTCTGCTTACCGGTTCTCTGGGGGTCTGTCCACCCCCCCCCCCCCCACAGTGCGAGATTGGTTCATACGCTTGAACAGAATCGCTGAAATGGAAGAGCTGATTGCTTCTTCTCTGGATAACCCTACTAAAATTTCTCATGCGTGGTCCTGTTGGTTTCACTTCCGAATGACCCCTGAATATCGTTCTTTCATGGGCCTTGCTGATTGATTCTGAATCTCTCTGATACCCCGTAGTGTTTCTGGCGATATATCGGCTCTTTTTTTTTCAAGGTTGTGATTGAGGTCCTTTGTCTCGATGTCCTGTAGTGCTTGGAGCAAGCTACGCTTGGCACCCTGATACGCCTGCAACTGTCCCCAGCTCGCTTCTCTGCCAGGGTATCTCTCATGTCCTGGGAGTCTAGAGTAAAGGTGACTTACCTACCCTCCTACTTCTCCACACCTCCTCCCCGTCCGACCCTTCCCCAACCCCCCATCTCCCCCCCACCCCTTTTTTTTTCTACTTCTCCTCTCTTCCCTTTTTTTTCATGCTTATTCTTAAATTCTTAATCCTCATTTCCCTGCTGTCTTACTCAGAGTTTAGCTTTCATTCTCCCTTTTCTATTTTGGCTTCTCTACTCATAGGAGCCCTACACCCTACCTGCAATCCAGCTGCGCATATGTTTTACTTTTACATATCTCCTTTCCCGAACCCTTTACCCACGTGCTTGCAACCTGTAGTGGGTTACCTCAGTTTCACCAAAATTACAAGGCCATATCCTAAAAGCCCTTGCACCCCCCCTTCACACCTACTGTATACATTTCCAACACATACCTTTGACTCACTGGCCCTGCTCTTTGCTGCTGCTTGGTAACTGAGGTTATATATCATTGACCCTGCCAGTGCTGTGATTCCAATATGCTGAATAAGGGCTTGAGACCAGATATGCCTTTAATGTTCCTGCGCTCGCATGTTCTCATTTTTCCTCTGTTTTCTTTCCCCTGGGATGACTTACGTCTGATTCTTTCTCTATGTATTGCTATGTATCTTTTTGTTCGCTGTATGTGCATTACCTCCTATTGTATTTCCGACTGATACCTTGTATTACCTGTACTTATTGTATGCTCTGAGTTTATTAATAAACCTTATGGAAAAAAAAGGGACCAGTGCTCTCAAAATAAGAAGTTCAATATTGTCTCTGCATAACCAAACATCAGACGTCATACATCCATCAACTTCTTCCTGTGAATCCAATCTGCAGCACTTCCTGCATATGTGATTGCGTCAATTCCGGCATCTGACATCACTTCTGACTGGTTTTGTCATCAATACTTTCAAGGATGTGATACTCATTCCATTTAGGAAGTGGTTACAGGCGTTTTTTTACACTGAATGTTTGCATGTGCATAGATTTTAATAAATATATGCTCTTTTTAGGAATTTACTGCACTATTATTATTATTATTATACAGTATTTATAAAGCGCCAATAGTTCACTCAGCGCTGTACATTACAAAGGGGGACAGAACATGTGACAGAACAATACCAATACAATGCAAAACACGAGGGGATCGAGGGCCCTGCTCTTTCGAGCTTACAATCTAGAAGGGACGGGATAGTGGTACAGGAGGAGATAGCTGTGGGGGATGGAGTGGTAGGAAGAGTGGAGGAGGTCAGCAAGTTAGCAGGGGGTGAGGTAGGCTTCCCTGAAGAGATGGGTTTTCAGGGTACGCCTAAAGGAGAGGAGAGTAGGTGATAATCTGATGGGTTGGGGAAGGGAGTTCCAGAGGATGGGTGACACCCTGGAGAAGTCCTGGAGGCGGGCATGGGAGGAGGAGACCAGGGAACTAGAGAGAAGGAGGTCTTGTGAGGAGCGGAGTGTGCGTGCTGGGCGGTACTTGGATATTAGGTCAGTGATGTAGTTCGGGGCAGTATGGTGGACAGCTTTGTACGTCAGTGTTAGGATTTTAAATTTGATCCGTTGCGCAATCGGAAGCCAGTGGAGGGATTGGCAGAGGGGGGTGGCGGAAACGGAGCGGTTGGAAAGGTGAATGAGTCTGGCCGCCGTATTCAGGATCGACTGAAGCGGGGATAGCCAGCGGCGAGGCAGGCCAGTGAGGAGGGAGTTGCAGTAGTCGAGTTGTGATATGATGAGGGAGTGGATGAGCTGCACTATGACCTCTATATGAATTCTCTTGCATGGGAACCCTGGAGAGAAGCTTGAGTTAAGAAAGGGACTGTTGAAAGTTGAAGAGTTTGGTGGAAAGTGATCTGAAAGGCATCAATCTGGTAATGTGCATGCAGTGACACTATTAAACACTTGCATGCGGTGAATCTGTATCATTTAAAGGGATATGCACTATTTTGGTGGTATGGAAATGTGAGTGGTTTTAAGATTTATTTTCAAGCATTGTGTATAAAAAAATATCACACTATATTAATCTTTGTTTTTTTGAGGACCATTTGCACAAGTCACCCTGATAAAGAGCAGAAAGGAGGTGGAATGGTTTATTAACCACTAGCCTACAGGGCACTCATACCCCCTTCCTGTCCAGGCCAATTTCCATCTTTTAGTGCTGTCACACTTTGAATGACAATTGTGCGGTCATGCAACACTGTACCCATATGAAATTTGTTATCATTTTTTTGAGACAGATAGAGCTTTATTTTGGTGGTATTTAGTCACCTCTGGGTTTTTTATTTTTTCTTAAACAAACCAAAAACCACAGAAAATTTGGAAAAAAAAATGTTTTTTCTTAGTTTTTGTTATAAAATTTTGTAAATAAGTGATTTTTCTCCTTCACTGATGTGTGCTAATGAGGCTGCACTGATGGGCACTGATAGGCTGCACTGATGGACACTAATAGGTGGCACTGATGAGGAGGCACTGGTAGGTGGCACTCACGGGCATTGACAGGCATCACTGATGGGCACTGATATATGACACTGATAGGCGGCACTGATAGGCGGCACTGATAGGTGGCACTGACTGGCACTGATAGGCGGCACTGACTGGCACTGTTAGGTAGCACTGATTGGCACTGTTAGGTGGCACTGATAGGCAGCACTGACGGGCACTGATAGGCGGCACTGATGCACACTGATAGGCGGGACTGAAAGGCAGCACTGACTGGCACTGATAGGTGGCACTGATTGGCAGCACTGATAGGTAGCACTGATTGGCATTGATAGGTGGCACTGACTGGCACTGATGGGTGACACTGAAAGGCAGCTCAGATGGGCACTGATATGTGGAATTGATGTGCACTGGTAGGCACTGATATGTGGCATTGATGTGGCACTGATGGGCACTGGCAGGTGGCATGGATGAGCACTGAAAGCTGGCACTGATGGACACTGACAGGTGGCACTGCTGGCGCTACACTGATCATCAGGGCACACTGATCATCAGTGCCTTGATGATCAGTGTACATGTCCCCTCCGAGGAATGCCGATTACCGGCTCTCCTCACGAGCTGTCAGCATGACAGCTCGTGAGGAGAGAAATGCTGATAACCAGCATTTCCCTGTTTACATGTGATCAGCTGTGATTGGACACAGCTGATCACATGACCGAGCCGACATCTTCATTTCTTTCTGTGGATCGGTGATCTGCTGTGTCCGAGGGACACAGCGCAACGCCGATCGCCGCGCTGCGCACTCCGGGAGCAGTGCATGCGCAGTAAGAATGGGAGGATGTCATATGATGTCCTCCCAGAACGAGAGAACCACCTTGCGTCCGTCATTGGATTATATGGCGGGCGGGAGGCGGTTAAAAGCACAGTTCATTGGAAGTTTGGTAAGGATCTTGGAGTGTCTTTGGCAAGGTAATACACTTGGTGGATCCTTCTATGGGTATTAATGGGAATGCACAGTTAATATATTATAACATGAGTGGCTTTCTATCTGAGAGAGATTTTTAGAAAACGGTTTTGCACTATATTGGTCTTTTGCATTTTGGTAAAACCATGTGGATCTTCATGTGAGACGGTCACTGAAGTACCAGACACAAGGAGACACAGAACTGAAGTGAATCTGAGAATAATTGATTGGATATGCACCAAGTATATGAAGGGTAAAGTTAGATAAAGAAGAACACTGGTGAACAAATACACATATAGTTATCTATTATAAATGTGAGCACATTGGACAGGATTTGAAGCATGGTGTAAAGAGCATACTACACTATATTATATTTCTTTTTTTTTTAGATCTCTGTATAGGAAGATTGGATTCACAGGAAGAAGCTGATGGATGTAAGGTGTCTGATTTTTTGGTTATACAGAGACAATATTGAACTTATTAGTTTGAGAGTGCTGGTCACTTCTCATATCCATGTACAAAATGTATACCTACATTTGATATATTTGATATTTTAAATGCATTTTTAATTTTTTTTTTACAGTACACTGCCATTTGGTACTAAGATAGTGTATTTATTGTATGTTATACCCAATTGATTGTTACCAGAATCTAATGAGTGAAATAAAGGAGTTACTGCAGCCTTTTATCCTCTTTGCTTCTTTCCAGTGGTTGTGGGTACAAGCGCATAAAGGGTTAAGTGACATGTGCAGCTGTGCTGCTATATCATAAGCTGCAGGAGAACTCCCAGATACATTTGAGAAAGGAGGCCACATTCTCCGTAATGCATCGTGTCTATGGTAACTTAATGCTTAAGGCTTTCTCCTTTGATTCCAGAGCCTGACGGTCTGATGGTACCATAGGGTGGGCAGTGTGGTGCTGCTGCGGGTCTCCTCTATGGTCACCAGAACTTATCTGAGAGCCACTGTTGAGGCGACTTGGTTGGTCAATTGCGCTAGGGTTGCGCTTCCCTTGTCCTTTTTTTTTTTCACTAGTTTTATGAAAGTCTACCCTAAAATATAAGTCAGATTTTAGGTACTCACTGCATTAAAAATATATTCGTTTTGGTAAGATACTCCCTAATGATTAAACACTTCTAAAAGGATGAAAACAGCAGATTTCTTAATTAGAACACAGAAAGTGCATCAGCTGATTAATAATAAATCAGGCCCTCCCATTTAGAATGAGTATGTGATCAGTCTGGTAAAACAAAGAGCTATTCATTCACAGAAAAAGGTAGGAGTCTGCTAAAAATGTTGTTAAAATCATTGCAATGTAAATTGATCACCCAGTGGGGTTGAATTTTTTCTAAACAAGTGCATTACTATTTAAATTTCTCTATTCCTCACACAGAGAGAGTTAAGACAGTTCAGAGATTTCTATATGAACTTAATATTTTTAGCATGAACATCATTTATTTTTGTTACCTGCATTAGATTTCATTCTAAACACCATGGGGAAGATATAGTAAAACTGGAGCACTCTGAATCTGGTGCAGCTGTGCAAGGTACCCAATCAGATTCTAACATCAGCTTGTTTTATTAGGCTTTGACAATAAATCCTGATTGGTTTCTCTGCAGAGCTGATTTTGCATGCTCCAGTTTTAATAAATCTCCACCATGTGTTCATTTTCAATGACTCCAACTTCCACCAAGTACTAGATTTTGTAAACAATCTGTGCTCCTTCTTATGCAAACCTGTATTTGGAGGGAGAAGGGGTGGGATCAATACATTATTTATAGGATAGAACTATCTATGCACCTATGCTATTTTTTCTCATGGCACAGGAAGGCAATTGATGTCTTCCTACCTTAGACAGGTACTGAACATTTATTGTGGATTCTTTGAAAATCCAAAAATGATTTAAATTTAAAATTGACACTTAACTATGATCTGGAATCTCAACAGTTTTTGGACATTGTAATTTACAAGGTTATATTTAGGAAGCCCTTAGCAGCCAACCACAGAGTTTAATTAAAGGCATCCCCTATGGAAATTTTTTTTAGATTAATAAAGAACTGCACATTAGACAGCAACTTTGAAATTGAGACCAAATAGCTGGGGAACCATTTAGACAAAAGAAGGAAAAGGGAGTGGCCCATAAAAAGGTCAACAGCAGGGAACATAAAAAGTGTGTGCAGAATAATAAGTCTAAGAAAAAAACAAGATGATGATTGTATAAGAATGATTATGTCTTTTTTCTGTCCAGTCGAGTGATTTAAGAAAGAAATTAAGCAAACGTTGTATGGATTGAAGAAAAATAAAATTTTGTTTAAAGTTTACCCAAATACCTATAGGGGGTTTAAGCCCTTAAGCCCTTAAGATATTTTTGGATAAGATAAAAGTGAAATATTGCTACAGATACAAAGGTAAACACCAATATCAGACCTACCTACTGTAAATACATGTTCATAGATAATAAAATTACTTTGTAAATGGAATAAACCATGCCATTTTGACAACTGTTAAACAAAGACAGGGGAGTTTTATTAAAACTGGTGCTACCAGACCCTGCTGCAGCTTTGCAAGGCAACCAGCTTCTCTCTTTAATTTTCAAAGTTTAACTCAACCAGCTGAGAATAGAAGCTGATTGGTTGCCATGCACAGCTACTCCAGATTCTGTCTGCTCCAGTTTTGATAAATTCCCCTCAATATATCTGATGTTGTGTAAATGCAATAGTTTTTTATGTGGGGAAGAGGAAACCAAAAGATAGGATTTCTAAATACATTTCCACTGTAACTAGAAATAGGGTTTGGTATCAAAGGGGGCATTGAACAATCTTGTTTTTTTTGTCCTGGACACAAAAGCTCTAGGGGAGATGAACGGGACCAACTCGTATTACAAAGTGGATGTAGATGGATCTTCCAATTAAATGCCACTTATTTTCCAATGAGTCTGAAATGAGGCTATTCATTTTGCCTACTTTCTATAAAAACCATTCTCCATACATATGGCCATCGATTCCACATGCTTTCCATTCTTTGCCTTTCGCCTTTGTAGTCATACATTGTGTGCAGTGTTTGGGTTTCACCAGATCAAGCCAAATCCCATAGGGGTGGTGTTTTTTTATTACATTTGTAAGCTATTGCTTTCTGAAATATCTGTCAATTATATGTAATGTATTGGTATGATTTGTACACTTGTAATATGTTATTTTTCCTTTCAGCAACCATATTCAGTTCTATCCCATGAGCCCCAGAAGAAACTAAGACTGTGAAACATGTCAGGATACCAGCACTCCTTTGCGGTTTTTTGTCTGTTCAAGAAAAAATTATTGACGTTACATGATATTGTCATTCTCATTGTCTGATGTGTGGAAGGAAGTGCATTGGGGGTTGCTAGGCTGATTATGACTTGCTTTAACAATAACTAATGGTACTTTTAGGAGTTTATACCCCAAACCTTTTAATACAATTAGTAATAAAAATATGTGATTAGACTTATGCGGTTTTGAGTTTTTTTTCTGAGGTAAGGTTTCAGCACCATTTAAAATCCCATTTTCTCTTCTTTTGGCTTTTTTAATTGTCTCCTCCCTTATTTATCATTGAATCATCAGTGACATTTTTTTTGTATACATTTAGTGATCCAAATTTTAAAAAAATTATAATTTTTTATGACTGTTTGTTTTATATGAATAGTGTAAAAAGTCTTTACCATTATCAGTGCTACTCTGAGGCTATATGCCATAGTCCTCATTTCTTCATTTTCTTCCTTTAATCTCTTAATTAATACATATTTGTGTTTGTTTACTCCAATATTCTGCCTTTTCTCACCCCAGCACTTACGCAAACACCTCTCCACTTCACCGGGCACAAGACAGTACTTCCCACTTAGTCCATCTGACACCAGCCTTATAGCACCAGGTGAGGAGACACTTTCTGTAGCAGCAGAGGAGTCCACCATCCACCACTGTGGATAGTGCTGTTGGTTTACACATCATGACTACTGTGAAGCCAGACAATGAGCATAATAAAAATAACCTGGCAGGAAAGGTCTGTACCCTCTTTGAGCTACCAATAGACATGATACCCAGAGACTATTTGCTATTCCGCGCATTCTAGGGTTATGAACTGATCAAGTTAATCTCCATACAGCCTGTAGGCATTATTAACATTAGAGCTGGAGTTGCAAAGATTTCTATAAACGGCATCTGATTTGATCCAGAGAACCCACAGACTTTAAGACTAGATTCAAATTAATGGCTGCATCTAATCCCACAAGCCTCCACCCTGCACTTGGAGTACAGTTGACTTTATGAGATCCATATGACTTAATAGGTGCTGCACTATTCCAGTCTTATAAAAATCCTGGAGTCCCTATCCTTTGTACACCTGTTATGGACCCGCCGGCGGTAGCCTCTAGCGTTCCACAGACCGGAATTCCCCAAGGCGCATAATCTATGCCCCGACCTGCTTGTTCACAAGGGTCCCTGATGGTTGGGATGGACTTTGAGCAGGCTGAAACCAGGTGCACCCAGCTGTGGTAGAAGCACTTGCCGGAGGTGTATAGCAGGCGAGAGCCTGATGTAAGGAGGTAGAGAGAGCGGAGTCGGGCAGGCAGGGTCGGTACTGGTGGTGGAGGTAGAACGGTACAACACAGTAGACAGAAGGATAAACTGGTCACGAGCTGGGTTCGGTAACAGGAGATCAAACGTGCAGGATTAGACAGGAGAATGGTCAGACAAGCCAGGGATCAGAGCAGGAGACAGTCAGCAAATCAAGGTAAGGCAGGGTCGGCAACAAGGCAATCTACTTCAGGAAACACAGGATACAGGTAAGACCATACGGCAACTAAGCATAGACCTGACCTGTTTAAATAGGGC